AATATTGAAGACTTTTCTGGAAGAAATGGATGCTTTTTAAATTCAATCCATTGTATTGCTTGACGTAATTTTTCTGGAATACAAATCAAAATTTTTGGGAAATGTTCCCTTATCAATGAAAAACTGCAGGTCACGAAAGGTAGCACATTAATCCATTGTGGGTTCAGTACTGCTGGAGTGCATAGTTAAGTGCAGAGTAAATCAAATATTTAAACAAATTTAAATATATACGCTGTGTGACGTATATTTGCGCATACTCAGAGCAGTCAAAGTAACTATCACAAGGCGATTGAACTTTTTTATGTATTTTATGTTTTTTTATTTTTAGAAAATGCAATATTGACGAAAATACAAAGATATACAAATAGAAACCCATGCCTCTAAAAAATACAAAAGAATAAAAAAGTAAGAAAAAGGAAATATTGCCACCGGAAGTTATTCTGTTTGCGCACGCGCAAATGAGCTGATGGTACGGATCGTGCTTAAGGTATGGATCGGGTAATGACAAGAGCTTCTCCTGAAATGTGGGGCTTTGTCAGCTCTTTATTTCAGCTCTGCAGGAGTTGAGTCTAGTCTCTTCATTGGTTCAGCAGCTTTAATGCAGCAAATAAATGTCAAAATATGTAAATTCAGGACATTTGTTCTCGGTTGTGCCTGCTGCTCGCATGTTCTTGTGCTAAATGAAAATTTGCCCCTTGTTCTTTCATTTCCAACTTCCCCCTACGGCGATTAGGTCAGGTTACCTTCCCATAAGCCGCATGGTTCAAAGCATGAGAAAAAAGTAGCGGCTTATAGTCCGGAAAATACGATACACATTTTTGTATAACATTTATCATGGTGAACATTAAATTTTCATCCCTACTTTCAAAGTTACCATTTTCACTCACACTGTTCTTATGCTTGAAGGTAACTTTCATGAAATACTGGAGGAAACAGAGAAAGAGTGCCTTGACACTATTTTTTGCCTGTTTGGAGTGAAGGCTGATGCAGCACTACTCCGCCCCCACCTGTTGCTACACACGTACTAATAAGCTGGCCAAAAGGAGGCTTCACTGTAGAGATGCACCGATCTAGCCTAATACCGATTCCTGAGCTGAGCATGTCGGCCGTTATCCGATACCGATCCAGTTTTTGGAACTTTGGATGTCTGAATGTCTGATGTTTGGTGACGATGTCGTAATAATCCATGTAAAGTGCACTAAGTTGGATCTCAGGATTAGATTGGTGCATTTCTACTTCTCTGTTCAGAAATATCGCGCAAAAAGAACACCAGAAATGATAACCAGCTATTATTAACTATAACTTATAACTAATGTTGCTAACACACAAAGAGTTAATAGGCACTTGCTTGATTTACTGTTCGTTGTGCTCTTATTGTATGTGAAAATAGCTTTCCGGTAAGATTGCCATAACTGTTAATTTTTGGATTATTCAGCCACAGCATTTAAAGCATTTAAATCTGTTTTTACCTTCCTTTTTGGTGTGTGTGTCTAAAAACCTTGAGATGATTGGACTTTTTTCATCATAATTTCCATACCATTTAAAAACCTCATGTCTGAAGAACAGAATTGTTGACTTGTGCTGTTTGTTGATTCTTTTTCCTTTCTTTATTTCCTTCCAGGATGTTATGCTTCAGTGGCTAATGTCCGAGTCCATCCAGCTGAATCAGATCGACGCAGAGAATCCAGAGGTTTGTAGGCAGAATCTTTCTAACCAAGAGCCACAGAAGATAGGAATACGTTCACCTCCCTTTTTTTTGACATGGGCTTTGTGGTCCAGATTGCAGATTACTCCATGCTGCCAGACACGCGATGCTTGTCAGAACAGCTCAGAGTTTGTTTACAGGAGGGAGAAGAGACCCCTCAGGATTTCACCTCCCTCTTTGAAACATCTTTGTTCAGTTTATCCTCCGACAGTTTATCTGAAGTCATAAGGTATGTGCAGGGGCGTTGCATCACACCCCTATTGTTTTATTTTTTTTCCCTCATTGCTGTAACATTTTTTTTTCAGTGCTTATAAACAGCTCAATGTAAAACACGAGCCACTTCGGCTCATCACCCCCCAGTTTGTGACACCTCTGCCTCAGCTTCAGCCTGCTGTAAGTCTCTAAATTTGATCTCCAAAGAACAAAGCATATTCAGTCCAGCAGCATTTCAAATTCCTGATGGATGTTTTTTTCCTTTGTCTCTGAAGGTCTTTCCGCCTGCCTTGAGTGAATTGCCTCCTCCCATGTTGGACTTGTTTGACCTCGATGAGGCCTTCTCCTCTGAGAAAGTTCGCCTCGCCCAACTTACAAATAAATGTGAGATTAAGCCTCCAATATTATGTTATTTGAGACACTTCCTCTTCTTCCTACTGAGGTGCTAGTTAGAAAACTGGGTGCATAACTTTTGATAAAATGAGAAGGATTTGTCCCCTTGGAAGGAAGGCTGTAGCGCCCCGGGGGCCTTCTCACCGGTTCTTTTCCTGGGAGCAAGTTATTTACTACTCTTAACTCAAACTGGGTAAAACCATGTAAAAAAGGACAGAGAAAAATGCTTAGAGCTTGCACAGCTGTGGGCTCAAAAATCACGTCCGCGAGCGTCCGGCAAGGTTTGAGCCCCGAACAACGTCATCTCCTGCTTCTTATACCTTCTGAGTCTGTGTTGCATCATGTGGATGCTTAGCTGTCCGTATCAGAAACTGACACGCCATCCATGTCTTGAACTCCATGCAGGTTGCTTCTCTGTTTGAGGGTTACAGATACAGCAGCTCTCCTATCAGACCGGCTCCAAGATGTGTCCATATCCTGTGTACTCTTAAAGACACGAAGGCTGTCTTGATTAGATGACCTCTGTACACACTGTGACATCCACAATGTAAAGGAAGGCCTTCTGCTCTGTCTAATCTGACTAAGAAAATAACAATGCAAATGATGTATAAAAGAATAAACCTAACACTTTTTACTCCAGATTGTAAAAAATGAAATGAATTTACCGGTACATTCCGGTACCAGGTCAGCATTTTCTAGCATTGAATTTAAGAACTAATGCTAATGAACTTTTTGTTTGAGAACATGAGATACAGCAATCATGACGGAATAAACTTTGAGACATTTAGAGCAGCAATTGGTTCTAAAACAATATTTAAAACTAGAAAGTTCTTATGAGGGGCTGTTGAGTCCATCATCCAGAAAAGAAAAAGAGGATGGCACAACTGGACCCTAATCTCCAACACAAGAATGCATAGCGGTTCACCTAAAGCAGGCTGGGAAAGAAACTGATGCCTAGAAACCCATGCTAACTCTGGAGGAACTACACTGAGCCATCACACATGTGGAGAAAATTGTTTACTGGGAAACTGTTGTGAAATTTACAAATCACAAAAGACTGTCCTGGGAAAAACAACCTATAATTAAAGCTTAGTGGTGCGCTTGCAGTCTGAGAAGGTTGCAAGTACCGGTACCCTTTTCGACCCCCACAGCCTGCACCCTGGATCCCTGAGCAAGAACCTTTAACCCCATACTGCTCCCCGGGGCCACAGAGTGGTAACCCACTGCTCCTCAAGGGGATGGGTGAAATGCAGGGATGAATTTCTCCAATGTGAGATCAATAAAGTTCAGTTAAATTATAAATTAAGTGTAGAGATCAACTGAATGTGGGTTTTTACAGGAGTTTTAAAATTTTAATTGATCAAAGAGTCAAAAAAATAAAGCATCTCATCTCCCACGCTAAATATTTATGGTGAAAAGCTAATCACATCTGAACAAGGAATGGCAAATTGTGTCAGTCATGCTTTGGGTTGGTTTCTATCATGGATGGTGGATGGGCGGAAATACACAGCAACCTGGACCTGTTGGATGACCTAAAGTGATCTTTGGAATGCTCCATCTAATCTGACTGGAGGCATTTTTCAAAGAATTCTTAGCAAAAACATCCTTTTCCCATTAGTGCTAAGCTGGTTGAGACAAATGCCAGAAGATTTTATGTAAATGTAAAAGGACTTTACAGGGTTTATACAACTCACACCTCAAATTTTCATTAGTAAAATTTTTAAGCAGGTTTTCTGCCTTTCAAGGTACAGATTTAGGTGCTCAAGGTTTTTACCTCATTTTACTTTCTTCAGGACAAAAACAGGAAGCAGTTTAAGTCTTGTGATTCTGCTTGTGAACATGTGATGAATGTACCTGGACTAGAATAGAGGATGGATTTAAAACTGTTTCTTTGCTCCTTTGATGTAAGAATTGTTAGCATCCCGTAGGAAAGCAGACAGCTAATCTTTTAAATGAACAAAGTTACACCTCTAATTTACCTTTGTTTTTGAACCAGGCACGGATGATGATCTTGAGTTCTATGTACGCAAATGTGGTGAAATTCTGGGTGTGACTCCAAAGTTGGATAAAGAGCAGAAAGACGCAAAGCACATCTTGGAACACATTTTCTTCCAGGTGGCAGAATTCAAGAAACTTAACCAGGTGAGATGGCAAACCTGGATTCTTAGGGGCTCAGTGTCCTGCAGACATTAGTGTCCCGCTCCAACGCGCTTTAAGTTGGCCAAATTACCACCCATATTGGCAAATCCTGTAGAAGCATTCCATTTTTGTAAGAGTTTGTAGCGGGGACACTTTAAGGACTTGCAGAGCACCACGGCCTCTAGTACCAGAGTTGATGCTCCTGATAGGACTGCTGTTTTGATCTTTAACTGAACTTCATGTTTTATTTCTTGCAGGAACAGGATGTCGATTCAGACGCACAATCTGCTCCACTCTAACCAGAACCAATCATTATGGACTTTTTCCTTATGGCCTTAATAAACCACATTGAGACAAACGGACCACATACATAGCATTTTGCATTTCAAAACATGAAAATAGTTAAATACACACACTTTATTAGAAAAAAAACAAACAAATCTTTAGATAAAATGACCCAGATAGAAAGCACAAAGTCACCTCATTTCTCAAACTCTGGTATTCCTTCCACCAGGTTTTATCCAGTCAGCTTGGGTTTCTGTTGGTCCTCTATTCAGGTAGCAACTGCTGCTGGGGTCTTGGACTTGCTGTTAGCTCCTGAGTGCTGGCCTCCAAGAAGAGCCAGGGGCTGTCGCTCTCCGATTTGATCAGAGAGACATCCCATGAGATTTGTGAGGTAGTGAGAATGCAGTAAGACTGGTCAAAACGCATGGCATTTTGGGGTTTTTTGAAGAGCTCCTGGGGGGTTGAGGTTGTCCTCTGCAAAGGAACAGTGAGGTTAAAGCCGTCCACTTCCTGCATTTTGGAACCTTGTGGTGAAAACCTGCCACAAGGAGAAATTGGATCTGATGAAAGGCAGAGGGAAGCCAGGATAGATGGCTTGCCTTCAAATCCATCACCTCTGTTGCTACTGAAATTCTTTGAGGACGACGATTGTTCTAGAGACAAAGCTGACAGCAAACCCTGCTCTTCTAAAAGCCTCCTGTCCAGCTCAGATGGGGAGGAGCACTCAAAGCTTTTCAGATCTAGAAAGGGGAAACAGTTTTTTCAAAAAATTGACCTAATTTGATGCCGGGTATCAAAAACATTGGGCCTTACCTCCAAAGATAAAAGCTTTCTCCATTTTTGTCCACAGGGCATGAAATGGTTCAGTGAGCTGCTGGTGGGTTTTACCTGTTTTAGCTGCTGCTTAATTGAACCAGCTGAAGTCTGGGCAGGTCATTAGTGTGATCAGGAGGGGGAAGTACTTCTAACTTTGCACAAATGGAAATAGTTCTAAAAAAAAGAAAAAAAATCAAAATGTAAACAAAACTGCATCAACTTCCTGTATTCATGCATGAGGCTAGAAAAAAAGGATAAATAATAACCCCGGTTTATGATCACACTTTTTTATTTTATTTTTTTTAGCATTTTGTTATTAAATTACTTTAAAAGTCCAGAGCCTTCACAGGGTTTGGGACCTTAAGCAGATGTGGAAGTTATTTTATGTTTTCTGTTTTAATGTCATGTGTAATGTTTTATGTAATGTGTTTTCAACAAAACAATTTTACCAGTTGACCAACTATAGTTCCTTACGTTCTTTAGATAAAGGGATAACATAACTTTCAAATATTGGCAAGATGTTTTTTTTCAAAATAATAACTTTTTTTTTTTTAATGTCAGACGTCAGAAAATGACAAAAATGTCCTCCAAAAAAAAAAAAAAAATGAAATGGGTTTTTACTCTTTGTTCTTTTGGTGAAATTTATTTAATGTACAAGATTTAACTTATAAATGCCAATTTTTTCACTGTAATGCACATATATATTTTCTTATGTGGAAAATGAAAATTTCTGAGTGACTATCAACTATCTTAATACTTGCCTAAAAGGTAAAAAAATATTTTTTTAGATTGTTCACAGTTTAGAATAGAATTTATTACAAAATATAATTATTCTTCTTAAGATGTTAGGCTGTTATGTTCATAACATTCAAAGTTTTTTCCTATTATTTTTTCTTTGTCATATTTTACAGTCTTGTGTGTACTGTTGTGTGGAAAAAAGTTTTCAAATGTTTAGTCCAGTTAAATAAAGGAGTTCGATGGATTTACTCAGTCGGCACTTTATTTACTTTGCAAAGTAAAGGAGAACAAGACATTCACATTCACAGCATGATGGTCTGCCAAGTTCTAACCTAGACAAAGTTGTTTCCTTACTTTTAAGTCAGAGTCAAAACAATAACAGACACTTTGGTTAAACAGTTACCTTGGAAAAGTATGTGGTTTTGTTATGGGAAAAAGGTATGTCTTGTCTATAACCATCTTCCACTAGTGAGACAAACTAGCTGAGAAAAAAATTTTTTTAGAGAGCACATAGCATACATCAATATACTGAGAAGGAAAGAACAAAAATAAAGATTTGTCCGACAACAGTACTGTATGCATCTTGCCTTTTTGCTTTGCAAAAACCCCCAACCCGTTGTACAGTAAATGTATTTCAATTCCACTTTTATTTATTTTTATTTATCACCATTAAAATTAAGAAAGTCCTCTATTATGGGGATTCATATGTATTACTTGTTCCTCATTTTACTTTTTTGTGTGTTTGTTTTCAGCAGGGGCGGAGCTAGATGGGGGGCCAGGTGTGGCATTTGCCACCCTTAGGCAATCCTGTGGCCACCCCTACCATTTTTTCCCTCTAATACAGATGGTGGCAGCAGTAATACTCTCAAGTAGAAAATTCTAAACATTAAAAATATTTGTGGTTAATTATACACGTCAATATACTAACATCAATGATAAGTACAGAGTTCATGTTCTCTTCAGAACTAGATTTTGTGTTATATGGGGTAAAGAGAAAATGATGTGTCTCTGCAAGTCATCTAGGAGTCTTCAGTTAAATCATAGATAAATAACAATTTTAATAAAAACTTCATTAATTTATGTAGATGTTAGTGCTTTTAAATACCAGTTTTAAACAGAATGTTTTTTGAAACAGATAGGTAAGTAATGACAATGGAAAAAATTTACGCCTCTTTTATACACTACCTTTTATCTAGAAATTATGGATGTTTAAATATATGTGTCTACGTTAGGCTGTAGGAAGTCCTTATGTAGAAAATATGGATGTTTTGCTTGTTCATTTTCCTGTTGGAACAGTGTAGATAGACCCAGAGGTTCTGGTACCTATCCACTTTCGGCCACCCATCAGTGTACATTGGTTATTGCCTGGCCACCCTTATAAAGGTTTTCTGGCTACGCCTCTGATTTAGGTATGGAGGGGGACAAGTAAAAATTGGCTCTGTTCGAAAACCTAGGACGCATCCTTAGAAGACCGGATTTGAAGGCCGATTACGTCATAGCGCGGCGCCGAGGTCTGGTCGGATTCCAAGAGTCCTCGTTATGCGGCCTTAAAATGCGTCCTTCTTTTTGCCCGATTTGAAGGACGGGTCTGATGTATCCTCGGTATTCTTGGATATCCCAGGAGTCATTGCGAGACCAAGCAAGCCGTGATCAGAGTAAAGGTTACTTGGCGCCGAACAGTGGTGAAAATTGGAAGTTCAGTTTAATATAATACAAGTCATTTAATAGTTCCGTCTGAGATCAATGAAAATAGTTGTTTTAATGGTTACTGAGTCAGATATGTGGCGGTAATGTTTGATTTATCTAAAGGTTTTTATCTGTTACTGTGTAAATGGGTTTGGCTGGAATTTAAGGACAGATTCTAATATATTTGCAGGGTGGGGACTATAAATCTGATAGGATTTTTATCTTTTTATTGCTGTTTTGCACAATATGCTTAACTTCGTATTTTTTTGTTGTTGAATATTAGAGATTTTGCAGATATATTTTTTATAAATATATTGTTTAGATTTACTTATATCTTTCTACCCCTTTTATAAAATAGAATAGAAAATCCCTTTATTTTCCCACAATGGAAAAATTTACAGCAGCAGAAAGATTATTGAAAATGGTCACACAAATGTGGACCTTAGAAAAATGTATAAGAATAACATAATAGGGAAGAGTTAAAATATAAACAATACAATACTGTAAAGTGTTTTAACAATATAAAACTGGGGAATAAATAACCAATATGCAGCTATGGACATTTTTACAGTAATGGATATTAGAAAATAGCAGCAACATCAGAGATGTGCAAAATGACAGCAGCATTTTATTTAACTGACTAAGGTTTCTATCATTACATTTGATTTTATTTGTTCCTGCTCCCGGTGGTTGGAACCTTTATTCCACTCTGGATTCTTGTGAGTGTAGTCTTTGTTCACTTCACAATAAAAAAGAAATAAATAAACAGTTATGAAAACTTCTGTATTCATTCTTTTCCTGCTTTGTGTGTCAACGTTCACGGTTGCTAAGCAACAGAGCATACGGCGGTAAAAACCCGCCGAAGGGTAGACCTGGTCGAATTTACAGCCAAAACTCTTCCGGTCTCCTTATTTTCAAGGACTTCGAAGGATCCAGTCTAGGTAGACCGCGTCCTTGGAGGACCCGTCCTAGGTTTTCGAACAGAGCCATTGAAAGACATTTTGAGTAGTTTATTTTATTTTGAAAGTCCAAGAGGAGGACTACCATTTCCTCATTCTGCTCTCTGCGCACATCCACTGCGCACCCACGTCACCGCTCTGGTTGCTCCAGTCTGGCTCCGGGAAGAAGGGCGCGAGATAGAAATTTCTAAGCGCGGAAGGAGCGATCGTTCCGCCGCAGCTGATCGCACCCTGACTGTAGACTTCAGCTCTAAAACTCCACCTCCTGCACTGTTGGATGCCTCTTCAAATCCTCCATAAAGTGCTGAAAGTCGTGATATTATCAACTTTATTTGCACATGACGTGCAGCAGCGGTAGGGAGGATCACTGGCGCACCGTAAACAAGAAGAAAACAAGGGAGGGAAATGTCCTGGTGGGCGCGCGGGTAAGAGACCGCTCTCTGCGGACTGAATTACTCTCCAGTCATTTAAAGGATTTCCTGGTTATCAAATAGTGTTAATAAAATTATGCTTATTGGATAAAAAGCCAATTGAACACTTATTTTTGACCTGCGACTGCCGCCTTTTTTCAGGCTGGGCCTTTATTTTCCTCCACCCTCTTTCCTTATAAACCCAGAACTATTAGATAAATCACTTCTTTTATAAAAGACGGTCCGATCGTGAATAGAAACAACAAACCTAGCCTCATATTGGCTCCTAAAGCTGAAGCCACTGAGCCTGTTCTCCAGTTCATGATCTCATCTGTCACCCATGTTGTTGTTGTCTGGTTCCCAGTGAGGATGGAGACGAAGCTATGCATCAGGATACGGATTCTGATGTGGCTGAGCAGAAGGAAGGAGGGAAGGGGAAAGTGAAGTGGACACAAGAGGAGGTGATTGTTGGGACATGTCCCAGTCCTGCCACCATTTGTTTCACTTTGGGACAGCTGACCTAAACAGGCCTGTTGATGTTTGCAGGATGACAGACTTAAAATACTGGTTCAGAAGCAGGGCTCCAATGACTGGAGGAGCATAGCCTGCTACTTCCCAGTGAGTGACTCTTCTAATCATAATTGTTGCATGATTAAGAACTTAATTGATTAAGAACTGGAAAATGTGTTCTTTCCTGTTACAGAATCACACAGAGCAGCAGTGTCAGCACCGCTGGTTTAAGGTCCTGGATCCAGAACTGGTTAAAGGCCCCTGGACCAAGGAGGAGGATGAGAAAGTGGGTAACACATCGGTTACACATTAGAATACAGAATGGTTCCCCTTATTTTCTAACCTGCTCATACATGTCGTTAAAATTTTCACATTGCAACTGCAAGACTTTTGCACTTTTAATTTGATTTCTTTACATGTTAGCCGTCAGCTTGGATGGAGATTGTCTTGAATTTCTGTCTGGGCTTTGACTAGACCATCTTCATACATACATACACTTTCATCTATATAATCGTATTGTAACTCTGTATGTTAAAGTGTAGGTTCATGGCAGGTGAGTTGAAAGTTTTTGCAGCTTGCAGGGTTGCCTTAATTTTTAGCTCCATCTATCGTCTTTATAATTCCATCCAGCTTCCTTGTACCTACAGAGAACAAGCATCCTCAGACAAAATTCTGCTTTTACTGTGGGGGAATGGTATGCACCTAGATCTGGGAGTGGCAGCCTAGTGGTTAGAGCAGTGCGCTTGTGCTCTGAGAAGGTTGCAAGGTTCGATCCCCACAGATCAATAAATCTAATCTTCTAATCTCTAAATTTGTAAATAAAGGTCAATAATTTGGACAAATTTGATCGGATTTCAATTTTTTTCCTCTTTTCAACTTATTGATACGAGTGACATCAGATCTTCATCTGAGAGAAAACAAGTTTAGAAGTTATGAAAACATGTTAGAGGGGAAAACTTTGTAGCCACACAACGTTGAGAACAAGAATCACAAATTCATATGCATAAATCTGTAATTCATATTCATTGATTTTACTCATTACTTTGTGTTTTGTACTTTTAAATCTGTAATTCATAGTAACAAACTTCTTATTCTTACACATAAGTTTGCGATTACATTCATTACTCGCACTTACAAATGTATGCTTGTAAATTTTCGTTTCTTCTGCACATTTGTAATTCATATACATAGGTATGTTATTCAAATGCATGAATTTTTGGATTTGTGATTCGTACTTGTATTGTTGCAGTAATTTTCTAGCTTGTATTTATAACTTCTAAACTTGTTTTCTCACAAATGAAGATGTCACATGAATCAATTGGCTGACAATGAACAAACACAAATCCTACATTTATTAACATTATTTAATTTCCGAGCTTAGACATGTAGATATTCGATTTTATTGACGGTTATCTTGTTCAGGGTGGTTTTCAGTGTTAGGTTTTCTGTCACTCGTCTGACCTGAGCACTTTGTTCCATGATTTATTGTTTATAAGGTTTGCAGTACATTTTCAAAAGGGCTTATTTTTCTTTCCTTTGGCTAGTCCCCTGAAAATCCTTTTTAAACATCTAAAATATTCTTTCTGTCATGATTTGTGGACATTAAGATCTAAAGAGAAGCATTATCTCCTGGCCAGACCTTGCAATTCAGTGATTCAGTGAGTCAGAGTAAAAGAAATGTGCAAGTCCAGGAGAAGATCAGTGGCTGGAAGTTGGAGGAGATTTTGCTGCCATTTGGCTGGCTTTTGACTTGGAAGGGCAATTTTAAATGGCTGCTACTGTATCTGGATAGGAAGGATCGCAGTTAATAGTAGGTGGAAGCTTTTACGAGGTGCCAAATTGGGATCTGTTAAAACATGAGAAACATTTCTCCCTCCAGGTCATAGAGCTTGTGAATCTCTACGGCAACAAACAGTGGGCAATGGTGGCCAAGCATCTGAAGGGCAGGCTGGGTAAGCAGTGCAGGGAGCGCTGGCACAACCACCTGAATCCCAACGTAAAGAAGTCATCGTGGACAGCTGAGGAAGATCTCATTATCTACAAGGCCCACTGCCTGCTGGGAAACCGCTGGGCTGAGATCGCAAAGCTGCTCCCCGGAAGGTCGCTAGAGTCCCAGAGAACTGGTCTTTTTATATTCTTTTTCTTATAGACAGTCCTAAAGATCTGATTGCATAAACTTCTCTTCACAGGACAGACAATGCTGTGAAGAACCACTGGAATTCCACCATCAAACGCAAGTTGGAGATGGGCTTCTACGCTCGAGAGGTGTTCAGACCAAATGAGCTTGATGAGATGTTGGCGCGCTTAAACGGAGACATGCAGGTGCATCTTTTGGCCTCAACACTCT